TTAAAGTCGAGAGTTGGAAAGTTACAGGGGTTCACCTATCATATCTCGAGTGGGGTCGGACTTAACGAAGATTTTACTCGTCATTAGCATTTAAAATTTATAAAACTCATCTCTGCCCTCAAAACTAAGTTAATATTTAACAATATAAAAAGATTTTAAAATAAAACAATCGCATAACAGATGGCGCCACACGCAATTTTAACTTTTTTTGCCGTGAAAGTTACTCGATTCTTTACTGGATTTTCTAAAATAAAGGCATGAAAAAAACTAATGTTTTAATGCAGACTTACATTCATTTCCTTTCTCTTTTTATAAAGAAATGATGATATAGAAGAAAAAAAAGGAGAGAACTTTTTCCATTTGTGATAATTAAATGAGTTAAGAGAAATGACAGTGTTTGTCATGCAGAATAATTTATTATAGCTTAATTGAAGCATTTAATTTATGTTGACAGTTAATTACAGAAGATAAAGAATCTTTCTTGCAGTCGAAGAAAGTAGTAATAATAACATTGCCATGAAATCATGAGTTATTTTCGCTAGAGAACCTTAAGAAAATATGTGCACGAGCTACTCCTCATCCTCATAAAAGTGTTATTTTTTTAATAATTAGAGAAAATTTCTTAAAAATTGTAAATAAATCAGCTTAAAACGAGCATGTTTAATTAATAAATAAGCATGGAGATGACGTAGCCAAGTTAATTCTGTGATGTGTAATTCCTCTTTATAATCAAAACAACAGTTATTTTGATAACCATAAATATTTATAGTTATTATGATGAGAAGTAATATTGTAGATAATTTAACAAATCGGTTTTAGTCTGCGAGTGATTCATAGAACATAATTTATTTGATTTATGTCCACCATTTGCAGGATTTATCCGAGTTAAGTCTCTTCAGCAATGGAATCTACAATCGAATTTTCACTCGTATTTTTTTTAATTTTTGAATATAAATAATGATTTTTTTACATTAAATATTGATGTAATTTATTTTTAGGAGTGTTAAAAAGAGATTAGAAAGTCAAAAAAATCGATTGTTTGGCTCCAGATTTATTTATTTTTAAATCTTTTTTTTTTTTAAATCTGAATTTAATCTTTTTATTTGATTTTAATCTCTCTAATCCTAGATGTACAAAATATAAAATTCTAAAAAAATCTGTAATGCTACGTTGCAAATAAAACCCCTGAAGGATTGATTTTCCCTCTTCATCTCATCCGCTGATATAAAAATATATCAACATCCATCACACATGCGCATTACATCGATTTACATTCAATTTATACTCATCACTGATAGGAAATTATGGGGGAAAAAACCAATCTAAAAACTTGAATATTATAAAATTCCGTATGATTTTTATCATCTCATCTTCTTCCTATCATCAATCATCATCAAAATATTTAATATATTCATTCATTTTAAATGCAATTTTTATGTCTCGATGGTAATCGTATGATATAATCTAGTTTAATTTTATTAATAGTTATTATTTTATTATAAAAAGTAAATTAATTTCTTTTTTAAGGGTTTTATTTTATTTTTTATTTTTTACAGACTGATCCTTGTTTAAATTTATATTAATAATCTTTATAAATCTTATGTCCTAAGAGAATAGAGAAGACGTTTTACTCTAAACATTCTCCCAAATCCTTCTGTTCTATAGAAGTTTACAATTTTTTGTTTTTTATCTTGAAAACAAGATTTTTTAAAGTTTTCTTTTATTGAACTGTATATAAATCGGTTTAGAAAAAGTTAAACTTTATAAAATAGATTATTTCTTGATTCGTATGATTATTTTTCCCCTTTTTCTCTTTATTTTCTGAACTACAGAAGATGCTTGCGTTGTAAGCTTAATACTTACAACTATATTTTCAATATTTATCGTAAAAATGTCTCTAATGTGAGGAGTTTAAAAATAAATATTCGATTTTTTTATAGAAAAAACATTTCCTTTTCTAGAGCAAAACATCTAGAGCAAATGTGTGAGTCAGGATGCTCAATTTAACTTCTCCTTACATAGAACGCCTTAATAATCAAATTTATAGAATATTTGTATAAATTTATGGAAAATTCTATAAATATTTTTATTAATTCTATAACTCTTTGCCATTCAAACAAAAATAAGAATTACATTTAACTTATCTTAAACTAAAGAAGCATCCTTTTCAGATAGCTCACAATTAGGTAATTTATATTTTATCTTGCGCTTCCATTATATATTACAGCATCCTATTAGCATTCTAACTTTTCTCTAACCTGTAATTACTAGATATATCCTTACAATATTTTAATATTATCGTCAAAAATAGCATCCTTCTCACGCTACTCAACTTATGCCAACACAAAACACTTTTAACATATGTTAGCTAATTAGATAGCTATCTTAACCTAATTTAATTAAAATTCATTGTTAAATGGCTATCTAAAAACGATTATTGATTATTATTATTAAGCAGAATTGATTAAAATTATCCTTAAAAATAAAAAATAAATAAATAAATTAATTAATTAATATATAAAAATACAATTACAAAACAAGTACTTAAATATTCTATTTTATTATTTATTAAAAATTAAGAATTCACTTTATTTATTTATTTAGTTTTTTTTAAAGAAAGCTACAAATTGCTATTGTATTAAAACAAAAATGAATAGATTTATGTTTGTTTTTAATGTAAACTTGATTTAACTCTTCTGTTTAATTTTCTTTAGTGTTTTATTTCTTCGAAATACAGCAAAAACAGCTGAGTCAATTTGAAATTTAAAAAATCTAGATAATTATAATCGACATTACTTAAATCCTAATTTCTAGTTACTGTAATTAAAAATTTAAAAAGATACTTAAATGTGTTCCTCATTAATATGCTCCTTTTTAATGTTATTTAATTTTTAATTTATATCATTTATCTTAATTTAATTTAATTCCTTACCCATTTCTTTCTGATAATTTTTTGTAACTTATTGGCATAAAAAAGAAAGGTTAATTACGAATTATAGTAGTAATAATAATAATAATAATAAAATAAATCATAGGCAATAAATCTTTAAAAAAGATAGGTTATACATTTAAGACGAAACGTATTTTTCTGAAATATCTTAAACTCAAATTTTTTTTCTATACATTTTAATTAATATAAATACCGAACAAGATCTTGATCTTTAAAATGTACGCAAATAAACAAATTATAAAAGATAATTATAATAATTTACACCGATTCGATGCTCATAAAATGAATTTTCCATTAGCTTCATTCTTACGCACGAAGAGATATTTCATTTTCTTTAAAATCAATGAAGGAGTGATTAATTGATTTAAAAAAAAAATAAAAATATGAAAATAAATAAGTCTTAAAGAATGTTAACAAGATTAAACAAAATGAGTGCATCAATCATCTGCCAAATTCTTAATTTATTTTCATTTAAAAGTTTCAAATTCCTTAGATTGAGTTTTAAATTCTTCCATTGTTCTTGTTCACTTTTCGCAAATTACAATTTTCTGAAACAATAACCATCGTTCATTACTTTTAAAGTTTCGTATCTTTAGTCTCGCATGTCGATAAAAGTAATCAAATCTACGGGATTTGGTAATCGCCGCCATAAAAATCTAATTTTAGACAATTCAAATGTAATTTTAGTTCCCCCCAAGTAAATTTAGCTTTTAAATTTTTCATGCCACAATTACGTGAAAGGAAAAAAGGGAAAAAAATCTAATTTCTAATCATCTGAATAATACAATCTTCTCATAAATTTTAAATGTAACATTTCTTAAATATTTGATTTTTGAAAAAAAAATTGATATTCTCGTACTTTATTTTTTTAAAAGTAAAATAAAATTGTTTACTTTAAGCTAATATTAAATTAGTAAGTACCTGTATATGG